GTAGAGTCCTCAATTGGAATCCCCTTCTCCTGTATCCAATGTACCTATGAGCATCATCAAGCGACAGTGTCTAAGGTGTGCAACAACGACCCACCCCTGTGCCCAAGGCATATGCTTATGACCAGCCTGCCCGTTATTTACCCTTGCGTGCAACGATCCTTACGTCTGACTCATTTGGCTGATCAAGAGGCAATTTAAGGACAGTCCCCGAGGGTCCTCAGGAATTATTCAACGTCGCAATCAGGATAACGAGCACAGCCAGTGGACAATTTAGACCCCAACCAAAACTATTTATAGACGGTCTGGGAGCGTCTGCTTAGGACTGGTCAGTCCGCACACCCCATCTATCAGCGCAGCAAAACCCTCGAAGGACAAAGTTGCATGGCCTGCGTGTACTACTTCATGGGTTGGCATGGTGACTGTGACCCGTGCTTCGACCAGGGCCCTTCAGCGGCACCGCCCTCTCCTGCCAGATGTGCCACCGGGAAGAATGTCGTCTCTCAACATAGAGCGCACACGACTCCTCACCAAAGAGAAGACACTCAAAGTTGGACTCTCTTCCTCACGGTAAGAAGAGATTGAGAGGGTAGATAAGGAATGGGAACAACGTACCTGGAGATAGCTGCCCCCAACCACAAATTTCTCACCAATTGGGCCGACCTGCATTTCGATGACCGGTCAATAGCCTTGGTACCACTCACAACGAGATGCAGTGCCACCTCAGCCAAAATGCCACATCAGCATGCTCTCATCATCATACACACATCCGCTGTCGCCACAACCTTCCAGCGGCTGGTCCTTCCACCTGGGCCCCGCTATAACAAGCCAGCGTCAAAGTATCCTTAATGCACATGAAGCATCGTCAGCGCACCAAGTAATAATGTCGCCAGCGCCAGGTAAGCGGCGATCACGATGTACAGAAAACCAAGTTGCGAAATCACACAGAAGTCCAAGTAGTCGTGTACAAGCAGAGAACAGAATAGCACCGAGAATCCATCCGAATAAAGCAATACAGTGAAATAATGAGGCAATGTTCAAGCCCTTAGGCCACACTAACACAGTATCCAAAGTCGCTCCTCTCTGTCTGGCGCCCAACGCCCAGCCTACTGTACTCGACTATCCTTCCTATAGTTGTGTTCACGCAACAGGCTCACTTCGACTCTCGAAGACCAATGTACATGATGTCAACACCATAGCCGACCTCTCTTCATTCACCAAGTACGTATCTTGTCACCCTCATCAGACCTTGATAACCCACACTCGCCTCCTTCCCTGAAGACCACCAGATCGCCCTTCATTACCCCCTTGCGCCCAGCAGCTCAGCTATGGCTGCCAGCGTACCGCTGCCCTGCAGCGCCCCACTTCACCTCTACGCGCCCCGTCAGTGCCCGTGGCCGCAGCGCAGCAGTTTGTCCGCATTGCCTAGGCGGGCAAGAATGCCTGGCCTGGGCTGCCTCACTTCCTATATGGAAGTGGCAGCCTCCTGGATGCCACGTGTGGCCTGGCTGGAAGCTTTTAGTAGCTTTCGGTTGGGCCTCAGTCCCTGCGCCCAGGCCCGAGACTACACAGTTGAGCACGGCCCGAGTCTTCGGACTTGGGCCGCTTGCTGCATTTGTGCGGGGCCCCGGGGTAGGTGTGTTGACAGTACTGCTTTTTGCGTAGGTCGGTGGTCGCTTCACGATGTATCGGCCCTGCTTTGTGTGCATTTGCCCAGGCGCAACTGCCAAGGCCTGGGCCAACTGTACGACGCAGCTTAGTGAGGCTCACACGTCCACTCAACCAACTGGCGTGCTGCAAGAGCGTGAATACCTAATGTGAAAGTGTCGAATTTTGGCCTTTGATGACTACTTAGGCCCACCTTCACTTAGGGCGGGCACTCGACTTGTTGGGAGCCTTTGCCCAGAACATGTATGTTTGATAGAGCCCCGTGAGGGCTTGTTCCTCGCATGACTGATGAGCTACGGGTATGCGTACTGATGGGCTACGGAGCTGTGAACCGAGAGGGAACAAAGTTTGCCTACTAATGAACTACAGGGTTAGGAATTGCAGGGGAACAGGGTTGTCCTATGGATGGACTATAGGGTTATGATCCGAGGAAGGAACAGGGTTGTCGTACAAATGAACTACAGGGTTACGTTGGGCAAAAGGGTGTTGTGAGCAAAAATGAAGAAAGGAAGATTGTTTTGCAAGGTTTTGCGGGTTGGGGTTTTTGAGGATCTTAAAGTAAATTGGGTGGGGGGGGGGAGAGGCTTGAAGCAGGTCTTGAAGTAAGTCTTGATATGGATAGACAAAATGCTGCTGATAAACCAGTCTTCAGCAGGCTTGCGATGTGTAGTAGTGAGGTTTGCAGCGTGAAAGAAGTAGTGTAGCAGTCGAATAGATGGAGGTCCAAGTGCCAGGGTGCGTCCGGTACAGGATCCTGTTGATGGAGTCTGATCCGGATAGCAGGTCGCAGACTGATCCTGATGTCCATGTCAAGAGTGCTGCTCCAGAAGTCTGTGATTCCAGGTGTCGGCCAATGGGACAGCATGGTGGCCAACCAGCTGCTTAAACTCSTTGAACTGCGCTGCAGGAGATGTAGTCCTCGTGCCCTTGCCATTAGATCCTTCATTGTCGGCGATGCACAGGAGGACAAGAGAGACGAAGGATGTGATAGAGGACAGCCCGGGGAACGAGATGAAGGCAAGAACGGATCAGACAAAGAGAGGGTGTATCGTGGAACGAGATGAAGGCAAGAACGGATCAGACAAAGAGAGGGTGTATCGTGGAACGAGATGAAGGCAGGAACAGATCAGAGAGAGAGAGGGTGTGGCAGAGGACAGATTGGTGAACAAGACGAACGCAAGAGTGGATCGGACAGAGAGAGCTAGAGGGATAGGGGTTTTGCTGGGTACATGGTGCGTGTGTAGAGCAATGAGGCAGGGTTTATGTCGGGTACATGGGTGTTATTCGTATTATATAGCTAGGATATAGGGTGAGCACGATCGTAGGCACAAACAAGTTTCATGGCGTTCTTGAGATTGTGGAGGGGTTCGCATGTGGATTCTTCATGTGGGTATCCGCTCCATTTGACTTTGTATTTAGTGACTGGTTTTGGGTAATGGTATACAGTTCTCGTCCTATAATAGATTCTACCACGAATTCTGGCCCGGTCGGTAGCATTATTGGTGGAGGTCTAGGATACGGGCGGTCAGCAAATTGTGGAGGTGATTTATGGTATTCTTCCAAGTACTCGACATGGAAAATAGGGCGAACACGGCTCATGTCAGGGGGTAGTTGAAATTTGTAATTTACGGGGGATGTTTGTCCAATGACGGGGAAAGGAACGGGCCACTTGTTTGAGAGTTTCTTGGATAAGCCATGTTTGGGTTCAAAGCGTTTGGCGGAGAGCCGGACTTTGTACCCTACTTTGAATGTGATATCTCATTTGTGTTTGTTGGTCTTGTTGGCTTGTTGTTGTTGGGTTCATTCAAGGGCGTCAGTGGCTTCTCCGAGGAGGCGGCTCATTGTTGCAACCCATTCGTTGAAAGAAGGACAATGGATGGGTTGAGCTGCGAGGGGAGCAAGAAGTTCGAGGGCAAGTGGGGATGGTAGCCAAGATCAAGGTAGCATGGGGACATCTTAGTGGAAGGGCAAACAACGTTGTTGTAGGCAATCGCGACGGCGGTCAGTAATTGAACCCACTCGTGCTGGTGTGGATGACAATACTTTCGCAGGATCCTTTGGAGAGTATTGTTCATTTTTCGGTTTGGGGATGGAATGCAGTGTTGTACTTGAGAGTGTTGCCGCAGGCTTTGAACACATTTTTCTAGAATTGGGAAAGGAAGAGGGGATCACGGCCACTGATGATGTTTTCGGGTAGACCATGGTGGTGTGCGACATGATTGAAGAAAAGTGTGGCGGTGTCTTTGGCATTTTGAGAAGTGGTGCAAGGGATGAGATGGGCCCGCTTGGTCAAGCGACAGATAATGACGTAGCTGCAGTCATAGTCGCGGTCGGTCTTGGGGAGACTGCACACAAATTCCATAGAGATGAACTGCTACCAGTGGGTGGGGATAGGCAATGACTAGAGCTTGCCAGGCTTGGCCTGGTTTGAGGGGTCGACTGTTTGACAAGTGGGGCAGAATCGGATGTATGCTTTGACGTCGGCGAGGAGTGAGGGCCAGGCTTGGCCTGGTTTGAGGGGTCGACTGTTTGACAAGTGGGGCAGAATCGGATGTATGCTTTGACGTCGGCGAGGAGTGAGGGCCAACAGAAGTCGCGAGAGATGGTGTCAAATGTCTTCTGTAAACAAAGGTGTTCGACCAAGAGTTGGGTACAAATACCATGTGTGTAAGGGATACAGAGTCGGTGAGTGCCTTTTTAGTGTTAATGCACAAGAGGTTGTCGTGGAGGGAGAACTCGGGGACGTTGTCGATTTCGCGAAGGTTATTGTAGATGGTATAGCGGTGGTGGAGAAGGTAGGAGTTGAACATGAGTCATGGTGGCGTAGACTTTCTCAGGGGGCTTGTGGTCAGGTTGTCGAGAGAGGGCATCAACGATGCGGTTGCTTTTGCCGGGGGTGTGACAGATGATGAATGTAAATTGGGTGAGAAAGTCTTAACCATTGGGCTTGTCGGGGTGTGATATCTTTCTTGGTGAGTATGCTTGAGACGATGGTGTTATCGGTGCAGATAGTGAAGTGCTGACCGCCGAGGTATGGGCGCCTGATCTTGAGAGCATGGATGATGGCGAGGAATCCCTTGTCATTGGAGGGGTAGTTCATCTTCGGATGAATTTCTTTCTAGCAAATGTGATAAGGGTACTCGTCGGGTGGAGCCTCGGAGTGGGTCGGGGAATTTGTGATGGAGGGGGAGTCCAGGATGTAGGAAGGGAAGTGTTGGGATAGGACGGCTCCAATAGCAAACTCTGAGCCGTCGGTGGTAACATAGAAGTGTGGAGAGGGCTCAACAATCTTGAGGAAGGGGGTTGTGGTAATGACGTGTTTGAGGAGGTCGAAGGCGGTTTGACGACGTTCGTTCCCTGCAAAAGGCTTGTTCTTGCGAGTGAGCTCGTGGAGGGGGTAGGATATCTCAGAGAAGTCGCGGATGAAGAGGCGGTAGTAGTTGGCAAGATCGAAGAAGTAGCAAAGTTGCAACAAGGTCGTAGGTGGGGTCCATGCGGATACCATCAGCGGATACAATGTGGCCGAGGTATTCTACGCTTGAAGGAACAAAAGTGCACAGACTTCGAGAAGGTATCGTCATATGTGATTCATAGTAGACTGGAAGGTCATTGGGGCATTTGTGAGGCTAGAAGGCATCACAAGGAACTTGTAATGAGAGCGGATGACATCCTTATGAGTATCCTCTTCGCGAATGCGGATCTGGTGGAACTTGTAATGCTCAAAGTGAGAGCGGATGACATCCTTATGAGTATCCTCTTCGCGAATGCGGATCTGGTGGAAGTCGCTCCGGAGGTCGATCTTTGTGAAGTACTTGGTTCCACGGAGTCGATCAAGAAGCTCGGAGATGCGAGGTAAGGGGTACTCGTTCTTGATTGTGATCCAGTTGAGGGCGCGGTAGTTTGTGCACATGCGGAGTTAAGAGGTTTCGCTTTTCTTGATGAAGAGGCAACTTGTACCGAAGGGGGAGGAGCTTGGCTTATTGAATCATTTTTCAAGGAGTTCATTGAGTTGTCGCTTCATTTCTTCGGTCCCGGGAACATAGAGCTGGTAGGGTGGTCGACATGGAGGAGTGTGGGCGGGTTCCTGATCAATTTGTGAGAGAGACCACGATTCAAAGGTAGTCCGGCGGGCAAGCACTCAGGAAAAACGTCCTTGAACTCCTCGAGGATAGAGGTAAGAGCAGGGTTTGAAGGGGGGGCTTGGTCATGTTTGTCTGTCGGAAGCAAGTCCTTGGGGAGGGCGCGGTAGTCTGTGCACATGCGGAGTTCAGAGGTTCCGCCTTTCTTGATGAAGAGGCAACTTGTACCGAAGGGGTGGAGTTTGGCTTAATGAATCATTTTTCAAGGAGTTCATTAAGTTGTTGCTTCATTTCTTCAGCCTTGGTAATAGAGAGCTGGTAGGGTGGTAGACATCGAGGAGTGTGGCCGAGTTCTAGATCACTTTTTGAGAGACCATGATTCGAAGGTAGTCCAACGGGCAAGCACTTGGGAAAAACGTTCGTGAACTCCTCGAGGGTAGAGGTAAGAGTGGGGTTGGAAGGGGGGCCTTCGTCATGTTTGTTTGTCAGAAGCAAATCCTCAGTACGCTCATGGTCAAGGACAAGACAATAATAGGTAGAGTCGGGGTTGTGACGAGCCATGTGGAGAAGCTAGTAGGGAGTGACGAAATGTTGGGAGGTAGGGTGAGGAAAGTAGGGAATGCCAAGGGTATAGCGGGGGGTTGTGGTGATGCGAAAGAAGGTGGGATGGAATGCATAGAGCATGAATTGGTCGAGCCATGGGGTTCCCCAGACGATGCCACACATCAAGTGCATGGCATCGAATGAGACCTGATTGCGAAGAGAGCGGACAATGATTGTGGTCTCGGGAACGGTGTTGTCTACTACGCGGCGGTGTCCTTATCCCCTAGTCGAATGGTGATACGGTGGAAGGGAGATCAACTTTGCGGCCACAAGCCTCGGTGATGAAGTTGTCGGTAGCTTCGATGTGAAGGAGAGCCCGAACTTGAGTGTAGACGCACCTAGGGAGGACGTGATGAATTAAAGTTGGAGTCGGGAGGAGTCGACAGAGGCGGAGGAGATCATGGTGTTGAGGCGGCGTTGTTCGAGGCCTAACTTAATGAGCTGATCGGGTCGTGCTTATTCCGCAACAACATCGGAGAAGGAGATGGAGGAAGGATTGGGGAGGAGGTTGGAAGAGCACGAGGCGATGATGATCTTGTCCGACGGGATGTTGTCGGTGGAGTAAGGTGCACTTTGAGATCAAGGGTACAAAGTTCATAAAGTGCATGACAACGAATGAGACCTGATTGCGAAGAGAGCGGACAATGATTGTGGTCTCGGGAACGGTGCTGTTTACTACGAGGCGGTGTCCTTATCCCCTAGTCGAATGGTGATCGGGGAGTCGTAGCCGGTGGAAGGGAGATCAACTTTGTCGCGACAAGCGTCGGTGATGAAGTTGTCGGTAGCTTCGATGTGAAGGAGAGCCCGAACTTGAGTGTAGACGCACCTAGGGAGGACGTGATGAATTGGAGTTGGAGTCGGGAGGAGTCGACGGAGGCGGAGGAGATCATGGTGTCGAGGCGGCGTTGTTCGAGGCCCAACTTAATGAGCTGATCGGGTCGTGCTTGTTCCGCAAAAACATTGGAGAAGGAGATGGAGGAAGGGTTGGGGAGGAGGTTGGAAGAGCACGAGGCGGTGATGATATCGTCCGACGGGGTAGAGGATGTTGCCGGTGGAGTAAGGTGCACTCCGAGATCAAGGGTACAAAGTTCATAAAGTGCATGACATCGAATGAGACATGATTGCGAAGAGAGCGGACAATGATTGTGGTCTCGGGAACGGTGCTGTCTACTACGAGGCGGTGTCCTTATCCCCTAGTCGAATGGTGATCGGGGACTCGTAGCCGGTGGAAGGGAGATGAACTTTGCGGCCACAAGTGTCGGTGATGAAGTTGTCGGTAGCTTCGATGTCAAGGAGAGCCCGGAACTTGAGTGTAGACACACCTAGGGAGGACGTAATGAATTGGAGTTGGAGTCGGGAGGAGTCGACGGAGGCAGAGGAGATCATGGTGTTGAGGTGGCGTTGTTCGAGGCCTAACTTAATGAGCTGATCGGGTCGTGCTTATTCCGCAACAACATCGGAGAAGGAGATGGAGGAAGGGTTGGGAAGGAGGTTGGAAGAGCACGCGGCGATGATGATCTCGTCCGGCAGGGTAGAGGATGTTGCCGGTGGAGTAGGGTGCACTCTGAGATCAAGGGTACGAAGTTCATGAGGAGGAGGGGCCGGGTCCCGCGGCGGCCGAAGGAGTGGAGGTCGCAGATTTGTTCACGTGCCAAGTGAACTGGCAGGCATTGGGGCAGTTTGTTTGTTGGTGTCCAAGCTCCCGACAATGGAAGCAGCCATTGTTGGCCGGCAGGTAGTTCCTCGGTTGTGAGTTTCTTGAGACGGGGGGGGGTTGGGTTGAGGAAGATGGTTGACTCATGCAAGTCCTTGCGTTCCATACGAAAGAATTGGATGGTGTTGAGTTCGTTCGAGCTGAGGGACATCAGGGCAGAGGAGTCGAAGAGGGTGTCTGACTCAACGAGAGGGGCTGTGAACTCGTCGTTGGAGGGGGACGCTATTGTGGTCTCATCCGCGGAGATGTTGTGAAAGAAGCGAGGACAGGAGGTGGCTGGACCGTGAACGGGGCAAAGAAGGTGATCGTGTTGAAGGGCACAAGTGAGAAGGTCGGTGAAGACATGTGTGGCTCGTAGGCGAGGGCGGATGCAATGTCCTTGCGGCAGACCCGCTTGCGGGAAATGAAGACGTTGTCGCTGATCTAGTTGTGGGAAATGTTTTGGTGGAGGGTACTAACATAAGCAGGCAGTGGGGCCGTTTTGGCGAAGCTTGCAAAATTGGTCAACGTATTCGTCGACTGTCTTTTGTGGGCGAAAGGTGGTGGAGAGGAGGGAGGCCCACTTGGGGAAGGATAGGGGAGGTAGTCGACGGAGTGTCGGTTGGCGGATTCGGTGATCCACCATCGATGGGCGGTGTCGACGAGTTTGTTGACGACGATGGAAATCCAGTGGATAAGGGGACATTGTGGAGTTTAAAAGCTTGTTGTAACTTGGCGAGGAAGAGGAGAACGTCGTCATGGGAGTGCCCGGAATGTCTTGGAGGCGGAGGGATGGGGGAATGTAGCTGGGTTTGGGGGGACAGCGAGCGAGGGTGTTGAAGTCAGAGGATGTGGGTGCGGACGCGATGCGGGTGTAGTCGTCGGTGGGGTTGGCAGGGATAAGGTTGTTGGGGGGAGGCTGGGGGAAGGCGGGGAGGAGCGCTGAGGATGACGTGCGTATGTGAGCGGGATGGATGTGATGGTTGAAGTGGTCATGTGCTGGTGAGGAGGGAGGGAGGAAAGGTGTGTGATGGCAGGGGTGGAGTGTGTGGGGGTGGAAGTGGAAGAAGTGGGGGGTGGGGTAGAGTCGGTGGAGGGCAGGGTGGTTGATGATGACGAAAGAGGAGGAGAGGTGGACAGAGGCGTGGTGGTGGAGGTCAGAGTGGAGGAGGTGGTCGGTCAGGATGTGGAAGGGGGTGGAGTCGTAGTTAACACGGTGATGGTCGAAACTTGTCGCTCGAAGGCGGTCATGCGATCGGAGAGAGCTGAGATAGGGGCTTGCATGTTTGTGAGGGAGGTTTGAACGGTTGTTTGTACAATGGAGATCATTTGGAGGATGGCCGAGAGGTCGGTGGTGATGGCGGGGCCGGTTCATTCTTCGCTTGCAAGTTCACGGGTGAGGCTACCGACGGACTGGGTGTGCATAGGGGACACGTTGATACTGGAAGACTCGGTAATGGGGGTGGTGGGGGGTGATGCGCCTGTGGTGGCAGTGGTGGCAGCAGAAGTGGCAGCAGTGGATGAGGCGGCAGCGGCTGAAGTGGCAGCAGCGGATGAGGCGGCAGCGGCTGAAGTGACAGCAGCGGATGAAGTGGCAGCAGCGGATGAGGCGGCAGCAGCTTCAGCAGCTTTGCACGAGGTGTTGGTTTGGGGCTTCATGCTCGCGGGAACGGGGGCGTGGGGTTGAAGGCGTACGAAGGGGGGTTGAAGGTTTTTTATTTACAAAATGAAAAGAATTTTGAAAATTTAAAAATGAAGGGGGACAAAAAGAAGGGATTAATTCCAAATATTAATTTTGTATGTAATTCTAGGTTAATGGAATTTATTGAACTTTAAAGAATAATTGATGAATTTAGAAAGATATTTGGCAGGGATTTTACAAAAGGAAATGTTGAAAATTGGAAGGAGGATAATTAATTCCGAATAGAGAAACTAATTGGGATGTGGACTAGTTGAATTTATTCGAAAATAATTGATGAGTTCAGAAACACATTTTACAAGAAAAAAATAAAAAGGTGAAACTTCGAAAGAAAAGAATTGATTAACTTCGGAATATTGCCGAATGAAATTAATCTCGGATGAATTAGATTTATTCGAAAAGAATTAACGGTAGAAAATATACAAGAAAAATATAAAAAAAGGAAATGGTTGAAATTCCAAATTAATTCGGAAGTAATTCCGAGTTAGTTTTGAATTAATAATTGATGAATTCTAAAGTGAGAAATTTAACGTAAAGATTGAAAATTCAAGAAATTTGATTAATTGCTGAATTAATATTGTTTGTAATTGGAAAGTGAAGGGATTGAAGAGTTTGAGATATCAAAAAAATTAATTAATGAAAGTAATTCTGAATGAATTTTGTTTATTTGGGGGAAAAAAATGATATTCAGAAAAAATAATAATAAAGGAAGTTATCCTAGCTATGTGAGCTATCCAATAGTACTATAAGGGTAATAGTACTAGTTAGTGATGATAGGAATAATAGTTGGGGGGCATATCAGTTGGTCGCAGCGTGGTGGGGGGGYAATGCAGCGGGAGGGAGGGCGGGATTGCATAGCCACGGGGGAGAAACACGGCGGGGGGGGGGGGGGGGGGAGGGACCGCCGGGGGGGGGGGGGGGAGGTGGAGATGGGGGGGGCGGTGGGGAGGAAGGGGGTGGGGACGGTGAATGTGGGGGGGGGGGGGGGGGGGGGTGAAATCGATTCGATTTCGGAATCGAAATCGAATTGATTTCGGTTTCGAGATTTTCAATTTCAGAGAACGATGGGGGGAGGGGGCGACGAGAAAGGAAAGAGGAGAAATGAAGGAAGAAACGACGAAGAACACGAGAAAAGAAACGTTGTCGAAGAGGAAGAAGAAGAAACAATGTCGAAGAAGAAGAAAGAAAGAACGGAGGGGAAAAAAAATAAATAATAGTAATAATGTACCTGCACGTCTGCGTTTCAGGATCGTTGATGACCTGGCAGCGACGACGTGGCGACAATGACGATGACAGTGCAATGTCAACGTTGAAGATGGCGGTGACGGGAATGACGTGGCAATGTCTATGACGAAGACGATGATGACGATGATGGTGTGGTGTCATTGAAGCTTCTCCGCGGCGATCAGGGCGGGCGGGAGGGCGATCGACGACGCTCTGATACCAGTGTGACGAGGCAGAGGCAGAGCAGTGAGGCTGGGAGAGAGAGGGAGAGTGAGAGCACTCAGACACACTCACTCAACTCGACGCAGACTCGACACGACTCGACGGATGCAGACACAAAGTGGCAAACTTCACAAAGTTGCAGTCTTGAATTCCTGAACACAATGTTGAAGCAATGTCACACTGAACACAAGCACTGATGCTGAAAACTTGGTGCCTGAACTGGGCTCGAGTCCGTACACAAGTACCGGACTCGAGTACGGTCCTGATGGCGAAATTGAAAATGCCTCAGGGCCAGAACTGAAATCGAAAGTCTGAGAGTGGCGCCAAGTGTCCGAAATCCGAAAGTCCCAAAAGAAGGTATTTGAAAACCGGCGCCAGAATGCCGATGGCACCAACTGTCTGACATCAGAAAAACAAGAATCTAAAACAAATGATTCGTAATACAAAAAAAAGAAAACAAATACAGCAAGCTGGCGGGGGGTAACCTGCAGACCAGGGATCGAGCCCTGGCGGAGTCCGTAACACCTCCCCTCTATATTTCACAATAACTAATAATAATAATGTTGAATGGCTGAACGAGAATCAGTGTCCGAATCCCTCTTCTACTGCAGGGACAACATGAGGTCCACCATAGCCATGGCCACCCTTTTTTGAAGGCTGAGGCTATGGTGGACTGCTAGGGCCTTGTCCTGATATGCAAAAGACAACTCAAAGCAGCTATGGCTGCTTTGGCTCAGGCCTCCATGCCTGACTTTGCCTCGAAGCGTCTTGATGTAGCTCTACCCTCAATGGAGCCTTCCAGATGCAGTGCAAAAGAAATGACTGAACTTGAGAGGGGAGAGAGGGAGAGAAGAAGAAAAAGAAGAACGAAAGAAGAAGATGATGTACACCAGCGAAGACCAAGACAATTCCTTTCTTCTCGCCAACCACTCTCCTCCTACTTTTCTCCTCCCCTCTTTATTTCACAATAAATAGTAATAATAATAATAATGTTGAATGGCTGACCCAGAATCAATGTCCAAATCCCTCTTCTACTGCAGGTACAACATGAGGTCCACCATAGCCATGATTACCCTTCCCCTTACTCTTCCTGAAGGCCGAGGCTATGGCGGACTGCTAGGGCCTTGCCCTGATGTGCAAAAGACAACTCAAAGCAGCTATGGCTGCTCTGGCCGAGGCCGCCATGCCGGACTCGGGTGATGAAGATGGCGTCCATCCCCAATGGGGCCTTCCTGATGCAGCGCCCACCAGGGTGATGAAGATGGCATTCACCATAGCCAGGTAAGTACCTCTGGCGCTCCCCCTTCCTGGTCCTCTTCTTTCTCCTCCTCCAGCCCGAACTCCTCCACCAGAGCCATGGCGGGGAGCTGGGTGCTCCTCTTCGCCACACAGCGCTGCTCCTCGAGTGCTCCAGCTGCGTGAGTCCAAACTTCCACGCTGCAAAATGAGGAGCAGCACTTCCCTCCTGGAGATATAGCGGCCTGCTTCCCTCTTGGGCGGTGACTTTCCAGGCTGGGTGGCCTCCAAGCAACTAGTAGCTCCTCCCTTTCGGAGGGAAACGTCATTGCAGACTCTGATATTGCCCGTACAGGCCCTAGACTCAGATTACTTGGACTGGTACCCGCCTAGACCTTGCTTACAACTACTGGGCCTCTAAAAATGCCAACTTTCGTCTTCTTCTGCTCTGCCTCGAGTACTGATACATCTACCACTAATTGGTGTGGTACTGGCCTACCTGCTACTTGAGTGTTTTTCCCAGCTGCTAAGTGTCGCGGGCCTATTCCCTTACTCGAGTGTTTTCCCCGCTGCAACCTTCAATGTCACGGCCACAAAGAACCGGCCCTGCGAGCCTTCACAAGCAAGCAAGTACCCTTGTGGGTCACACAAACTCAAATCGTCAAGCACTCAGACCAGCAAGCACACACACACACAGACTTAGGAAACTCAGCAACAAGCGGAAAACTCAGCAAGGCATTCATTCCCTTGGCAAAGCTCAGAAATCAGCTGTGTCTCAGTCCGTGTTTGGGAGGTCCTTACACAGATCATAACAGGGCGCGCATCCTCCCTCAACGCCAGCAATAAGATATAGAGCATGGCGCAGCACTTCCTCACCTTCGTGGAGACCAGCAGCAGATCACATGTCTCGTCGCAAGGTAAGTCCAGGTAAGCTTCTCCTCATCTCACGTCATTGTGCTCCTCGCAAATCCTCATCACCTAGTCTACAGCTATGCGTATATGGCCACACCAACATGATCTCCCTCTGGGCTGGCACCCTCCATCAGCAGCTGGCACCAGCATACCACTCCAGCAGCCTTGCGATGCAGCACTAGCATCACGCCAGCACAAGGCAGAATGCCTTGCCCAGTAGTCTGACTGCCCTTTTGTAGCCTTGACCGGTGTTGGCTGGCATGGACCAGTCTCCAGTTTGACAGTGTCGACTCTTCAGAGTTGCCCGATCTCGACGGCCTGGGTGCGGCCTTGAGGAAGCGGTACCTTTTCCCAGTCGGGACTGGAATCTTCTGGATACCTGCAGACAACCATTGATGTGCATCTGATCTACGGCCGAGGCTTGGCCTGCTATTGCCGTGCTTGGTCTGACTCTTGATTTTCCAAGAGTCAACTACCTCACGTGGCGCCTCTGGCTACTGTTTCACTCAGGCCTTGACCCTAGGTCCTCTCTCAGACATTTCTCAGTTTTGGAATGCGACTTTTGGCCCTTGTTTCAGGCCTTTACCCTAGCCTGCGACTGTCTGTCTGTGAACTGAGTTTATTGCACTTCGACCTATTAAGTTATTTTTGCCGAAATGTAGTCCCGACTTGCTCGAACCGACAAAGTGTTTTAGTCTGTGGTGTTTACCATTGTCACCAAGGGGTATGCTCATTATTGGACTTGAAATGATAACCCGTAGGAACAGCCTTTTTTTTTTTGAAAGAATATCAGAACCTCTTGGTTCTGGCTCCTGCCATTCTGGGGAGCGACAGTCCGCTTTCTTCTTCCTCTTTCTTTTTTTTTTTTTTTTTTTTTTTTTCTCCACAAAGAAGTCAAAACTGGTGCACTTATCTGCCATTTGCTCTAACCACTGAGCTACGAGAGACCTTTCGCAGCTTTCCTCCTTTTTTTTTTTTTTTTTTTTTTTTTTTTTTTTTAATAACCAAACAGAACCTTGCGGTTCCGGCTCCTTTTCCATTCTGGGGAGCATCAGTCCGGTTCCTATTCCACCGGCAAGTCAGAAAAGATTACAAAAGGTACGCACACACGCTCCTCCCCTTTATGGTAGGAAGGCCCGAACGACGGCATTGATTACTTCCTATGGGAAGGATGTACCATCATTCACCCCTGCCTAAGTTAGCCTATTTGACGTAATCTTGGGCTTGTAAGGCCTCTCAGGGAAATGAACTCTGTAGTGTGGTATCTGTCTGTAGGACTTGTCTAGGCTTTCCTAGTTCTTTCTCTCGGCTGTAGGGCTGTTCGATCTGTGTGTATTCCTGGTGGAGCTAGG